AGACGCTGTCTTGAAGACCGTGAAGGACTGTCCTCGCCCGCGCCCTTGCACCCTTATTTAAACCGTTCATCCTCCTCATTCATACCCTGACATTCTTCTCCGGTCATGCTCCTTTCTCACGCACCCTCGGTGGACCAGGCACTTCAACCACTCTGCACGCATCCTTAAACTTTCGCTCGACTCTGCCATAAATAATCCTTGCAGTCGATCCTTGCGCACATGGTCACTTTCATTCTAAGTCCAGACACGCTCGACATTTCCCAGAGACACACTTATTCCATTCCCACGTGTATATGTAGGAATGGCGAGCGTGGCGTGATTAGGGTATGAGTGACCGTGCGCAAGGATCACGTGGACGGGTGTTTATGGAAATATCGGTTGCAAGCGAAGAGTGGAAGTCTAGGAATACATCTGAGTGTTTGGGCTACATGAGGGCAAGACTGTGAGGAGTGCGTGAGAAAAGCGTGATTGGGAAAGAGAGCTTGGGTATGAAAGATGATAGAGTGTATGGCTTAAATAAGGGTGCATGGACGTGAAGCGAACAGTTCTTGGAGTACTTCTTTGGGAAGAGTTTGGGAGATAGTTACTGTGAAAGGTCATAGTGTCTAGAATAAGTCTCCAATTAGTTCACAATAAATCATACTTTTTATTATCTACCACCGTCATATTGCTGTCTCCTAAACAATTCCTACATGTATATAACTTCCCGTTCTTCCGATAGTATTCCAGTGTCTAAGTCAGGGTCTGGGGCCTACCCTAGGGTTATTCATGAGTCCGCTAGCAGCCCTTGGACGAAACGCATCCCTTCCTTATCCTACCGTCCCTTCTAGCTACCCGAGCAACGAGGATACCTGCGACCAACGGACATCGAAACGACCGTGAGGAAGGGATACCCACATCCCCATCCAAGGCCCACTAGCAGGCCCAGAATACGTCGGAGGCTGCGAGCGCGACCCAGCCGGATGGGTCAACGCGTTAGCACTCCGCTTATGTCAGCGACCCTGCACCTATGGTCGGGGGATAGTCTCTCCCTCGTTGTAACCTAGGTCAGGGAGACCACGAGCAGGCGGTTGAGGGCCCCCTGTTCTTGAGACCGTGGTCCGAGCGTGTGGCGTCGCGTCTTGGTCGCGGGGCGCCTACAGGGTATGCAGGCATGCTTGCGAGTGGGAGACGATCGGAGGGATGAATGTCACGACCTGTCACCGCGTGCGTGCTATATGTGAGGTCAACCCGCAATGGTAACGCAGGCGCTGACTTTTGTGAAGTGAGTTGTACCGGAGCGGGCAGCGGTGAGTCTACTCGTCCGCTAAACTTTCGCGGATACCTTATATTCGCGAACCTGCAAGTGACCGAGCTTCATGCTGGTGACCCCGCCTCCTCGTGGCCCCCGCTGGAAACGTCGCGCCCCTGATTCGGTGCGATAGTGCCGGATCAGGGGGGCGACGGCTAAGAGGGTCACCTCCTGTATAGGACGGTCAACTCCTCGGATAATTCTCCACGGATGACGAGGGGGTTTTTCCAAGCTTGGTGCCCGCGCACTTCCGGGTGTGGGCACCACCCCTGGCAGTGGTTTCAAACTGTCACCGTTGTAATAGGCCCAGCCTGAAACAACCGTAGCGAACTCTGGTTCCTATTGCTATAAGAGACACTAAATGTATGTGAGGTCGAGGTGCGATTTCCCGTCGCGGGGGCGTCCTGGCAGTTGCGTCGCCGCGAAGACCAGGGCGCTCCGATACCGCGAGAGGATGGCCATCGTGGGGGTTTTAGGGGGTTTTCAAACCCCACATAACCCCGCCCCCTTGCTCAGGGGGTCGGGTATCTTTTCGAAGATTTCTCCCACCAAAAAAAAAAAAAAAAAAGGAAAGGGCCCAGAATACGAAACGCATCCCTTCCATTTCCCTTCGTCCCTTCTAGCACCATCGCTATATCGAGGATACCTGCGACAAGCCGACGTCAACAGCAGTGAAGAAGGATCTAACCTAACCTAATCTAACCTAACCCTCTTAACCCAGATAAACGAAATAAGTGTAGAATTGGAACGACTGTGGGCCTGACAGAATGTTAACGCATAGTGTACCGCTCACGAAATTTCTCGTGTCTCGCGCGCCATCTGTTATGGACCTTAAAAGTCAACGCACTTTCTTTTAAAATCGTGCGATCCCTGACGTATGTCTCAGAGATCTCTATGTGTTAATTAGCCAGGTAAATTTGCAGCAACCGTCGAACATTTCTGGAAGCTGAGAACAGAGAACGAACGAGAAATTACGGCTAAACGGTACCCGACAGGATGATAAATCGCGATAAATCATGGCGAGTATGGTAAACAGCGAGTGCATACGCGGTCTTGGACGACAAATCGAGGAAACGCTGGGAAAAATAATGAAAAGCAAACAGGAGCCACCGTATCGAACCCAATTACCGGGATTTACGAAATCGATGGTATCGTAAATATTTAATTACCTATCTGTTTACGGCGGACATGTTTGCTGTTTAGTTGATCGAATATGGCCGATGATGGTCGATAAACAGGAGAGAGATGTAGGAAAATTGGAAATTTTGGAAAAGTCGAGGGAGGAATACGAAGATAGAGATGCATGCTGTATACAGTCTATCATGATCGAATAGGGGTCGAAGAAAAGGGGTGGATGAACGAGAATAGAGGAGGAATAATAATTTAATGGTAATAGAGAGCGGTATGGATTCGAAATTCTGGGGAACTTGAACTCTGAATATATGAATCGAACGGTATACGAAAATACGTGTCGCTGGAAGAAGAATAAAAAGAAGGATGGAACTCGCAGTCCAAATAAAGAGGAATATTGGTCTGGAATCGTGAAAAATTCGAGCGAAGAGTATAAAAATTCATACCGAAACTTTTCACGTATAATGTCATAATTGTGCAAGAGACGAAGATAACCAATTTTGGAAAATGATGAAAATAAAGGAACAACGCAAGAGGTAGAAATTCCTAATTTTTAGAGGAAAGGAGAGAAACAGCGAAGGATAAAGAGAACCTGATCCTCGAGAAAGAAGGAAGGAAGAAATAAAAGACCGGGGTACATAATTGATAAGAAGGGAGAAGAGAAAAATAAAAAGCTAAAAATATTCGAGTCTCAAAAGAGGAAGAAAACATGCAGCAAAACACTAAGGTATTTAATCCTGGAAAAAGGAAGAACATATACAACACGAGACCATGGTACTTAATTTTCGAAAAAGAAAGGAAACATACAACGAAGGAGCGAGGTACCTAATTCTCGAAAGGGAGATTATTATCAACAAAGGGCCATGATACTTAATTCTCAAAAAAGGGAGGAAACAAACAACGAAAGGCCAAGGTACCTAATTTTCAAAAAAGAAGGAAAGGAATATACAAGAAAAGTCTAAAGTACCTAATTCTCAAAACTGGAAAGACACAAATAACGAAAGACCAAGGTACCTAATTTTCAAAAACGGAAAAACACAAACAGCGAAAGACCAAGGTACCTAATTTTCAAACATGGAAAGACACAAATAACGAAAGACCAAGGTACCTAATTTTCAAAAATGGAAGAAACACAAACAGCGAAAGACCAAGGTACCTGATTTTCAAAAATGGAAGAAACAAACAGCGAAAGACCAAGGTACCTAATTTTCAAAAATGGAAAAACACAAATAACAGAAGACCAAGGTATCTAATTTTCAAAGATGGAAAAACACAAACAGCGAAAGACCAAGGTACCTATTTTTCAAAAATAGAAAACACAAACAGCGAAAGACCAAGGTACCTAATTTTCAAAAATGGAGAATATAAACAAAAAAAGAGCATAATACTTAATTCCCAAAAAAGGGAGGAAACAGAGATCAGAAGGTACCTAATCCACGAAAACGGAAGAAAACAGGTAACAAAAGACCATGATACTCGATTCACAAAGAGGAAGAAAATAAACAATAGAACACAAAGGCACCTAATTCCCAAAAATGGAAAAAACATATATCAAAATATCAATAAACCTAATTCTCATAAAAGGAAGGAAACATACAGCGAAAGACCAAGGTACCTAACCATCAAGAAAGGACAACATCAACAACAAAAATCCCCGATACTTAATTCTCGAAGAGAAGAAAAATAACTCAACAGAAGATCAAGACACTTAATCCCCAAAACGAAGAAAATAAACGACAAGGTACAATAATCCGAAATTCTGGGAAAAAGAAGAAAACGGGCAAAGAAAGACAAAGGCTGCCAATTCTCAAAGAAATAGCAAAAAAACGGCAAAGAAACGGCAAAGAAATTGCAAAGAGATTGCAAAGAAATGACAAAGGCAGCCAATTCTCAAAGAAACGGCAAAGAAATGGGAAAGAAATTGAAAAGAGATTGCAAAGAAATGACAAAGAAATCCGAAGTATCTTGTCACGCGGTATCAAATCTAAAAAGCGCACAGCTGAGAAGAACAAACCGCTGGAAAAGGGGAAAAGAAGAGCAAATCGTATGAAAGCAACAGGAATATAGTGGACGAAGAAGCACGCGGGAAACAATGACGATTCGGACGAAAGACGAAGAAAAGAAAGAAAACGAAGGAAACGGCGAGTGGTGGCCCAAGAAGCGGAGGATCGGAAAGGCGGCGCTGGATTACGAGACAAAGAACGATGAAGGATTCGCAAGATGGATCCCGGGAATAATGGCGGAAAATTTTATGGAATCGCGGCCCGTAATTGCAGGCATGCACACAGCTGAGGAAGATGTAGAAATATTAAAACCGAGGGAAGTGCCGGGAGATTAATGCTGTCGCGCGAAAAGCTGTCAGAACTCGCGATGGCGGACGTGAATCGAACTTTTCCTGCGCGCCATTGTCGCCACAGACCGAGTGCTCAGACTAGGATACAGCCTCGGAACGAAAGTCGCGTTGTCTTTCTTTCTTCCTTTCCGTTTCCCCTTTTTCTTCCCGTTTCATCGAGAATTAATCTGATTTCACGCGGTTCGCCGATGTCATTCTCACGATGATTCTCCTTCTTTGCAGACTGCCGAGCTGTGTCGAGGGGAAGTTCCTGCTGGATAGACGACGTGGACCTCGGACTAATTCTGGGAATTAAGCAGGTGAGTGTGTGCTATCGTTGAGTATGAGTAATTCGATTAAGTTTGGAGTCCGTTTGATGGTTTCAAGGTCTGGTGATCGGATCTTCTTCATTTTCTTCGTGTATTCTAGGGACGTGTCCTTGGGAACGCCATTGTATACTGATCTATTTTCTTTTTATTAATTTTTAATTATTTAATTCGAATAATAATTTCGAAGAATTTTTAATTTTATTCTTCGGCTTCTTCGTGTATTTTAGGGAATAATGTATCCTTGGAACGCGTTTGTATACTGATCTATTTCTTTTATTAATTTTTCATTATTTAATTCGTGTTCCGTCCCCGAGAGCGTGTTTAGAATATGATTTTATAATTAAGGCTTAGACTTTTGCCAGACCTAACGGTTTATTTTATATTTTATACCGCGACTGCAATTCCGGAGGTTCGATATGCCTCAACGCCGTTCTAGCGGATTAAGCTTATAAAGGTAAAGCAAAATTAGGAATTTTACTAGTACCAGACGCGACAGATGGGGCCCACTTGTGACAGACCCAACAAGCGACGGACGGACGGCACTTATAAATCACGTCATTGACCATCAGAAATCGGCTCCTTGACAGTTTCCTACTCCTTAGCCAAAGGTCCTTATGTCACACCCTCTGTCCAATTAAAACTCTTTACCTTTCCACCACCAACGTCTATTTTACCCAATCAGAACTAAACTAGAGAAAACACCGGACCGAACACGACGAGACAGGACATAGAGCAAAATCGAGAAGTCAGTTCGTCTTCGGCACCGATCCTTCAAACATCTAAATTACACATACGAACGCGTGTTCAAAACGGTACTCCGTTAACGTCTACGTTATAACTATTCTACGCTTTTCTCTAAATAAACACTCTCTTTTGACCACACGCATTCTGAATCCTTATTATCACAACTAGTCACGCAATATTAATTTGGCGCGTGATAAGCGTTCTTGGAAATCGAAGAGATTCGATACCGTAGGACGCTACAATTTGAATAATAATTTCGAGAAATTTTTAATTTTATTCTTCGGCTTCTCGTATTCTTGGGAATAATGTATCCTTGGAACGCGATTGTATAGTGATCTATTTCTTTTATTAATTTTTCATTATTTAATTCGAATAATAATTTCGAGAAATTTTTAATTTTATTCTACGGCTTCTTCGTGTATTTTAGGGAATAATGTATCCTTGGAATGCGATTGTATAGTGATCTATTCTTTTTTATTAATTTTTAATTATTTAGTTCGAATAATAATTTCGAGAAATTTTTAATTTTATTCTTCAGCTCCTTCCTGTATTCTAGGGAATAATGTATCCTTGGAACGCGATTGCATAGTGATCTGTTCTTTTTTATTAATTTTTCATTATTTAATTCGAATAATAATTTCGAGGAATTTTTAATTTTATTCTTCGGCTCCTTCGTGTATTTTAGGGAATAATGTATCCTTGGAACGCGATTGTATACTGATCTATTTCTTTTATTAATTTTTCATTATTTAATTCGAATAATAATTTCGAGAAATTTTTAATTTTATTTTTCGGTTTCTTCGTGTATTTTAGGGAATAATGTATCCTTGGAACGCGATTGTATAGTGATCTATTCTTTTTTATTAATTTTTAATTATTTAATAGGAATAATTATTTCGAGAAATTTTTAATTTTTTTTTTTGTTATTGCGAAACTATACTTATTAGTTGAAGAGAAACCAGGGTTCCTAGTTTTTTTTTTGCTGTATGGATATCTTCTGTGGCATTCTTTATAGTTTGTCCCCTATTTTCTTCGTATTCTGGAAAGTTCGCTTTTATTCAAAAGCACACACCAATTTTTCCATTCATTAAAAATCTTTTTTACGTGATTCTGAAAATAAATCAGATGAAGAGAGAACAATTGTTTAATATTGGATCTCTCTAGTAGTATTATCTATCTAAATATAATTTACATAGAAAATAATAATTAAAATAGTAGAGTAAGTAAATAAATATGAAGTGTGCATGATTATATTTCTGTTTTAATAAATGTTGAAATTAATCTTATTAGAAACACCTGCACTGGAAAAATATTTGTAATTAAATAGAAATATAATATGTACATAGTTATCTTCCTATTTTAATAAATATCAAAATTAATTTTGTCAGACAAATCTGAACGTTTCCAATGCTAGAAAAGTATTAAAAGAATAAATAAATATAAATCTATTGCGTACGAATAACTATAAATAATAAATTAAATACATACATAAAATGTACACACTTATATTTCTATTTTAATAAATATCTACAATAAATTTACGAAAAGCACCTGCACATTTTCAATACTGGAGAAAATATTTAAGAAATTGATAGATACGAATTAATTATTTATAAATATCTAATTAAATACAAATACAAAATGTACATAGTTATATTTCCCTTTTAATAAATGTCAAAATTAATTTCTCCATTGTATCTGTATATCAACACTTAACACGTTGAGTGCGGCGCCGATTTTGCTATACTTTCCGCTCAGGCGGCAGCTAGTGAGCACTTGATGCCGAGCTCTCAGGTATACCGAAGGGTACGAGCAGAAGATTACTTTGTTTCACTTTGTCGTTTGGACTGTGAGAATGGTACAGCCAATGCACAAATATGCAAATTATAAACAGAAGATAATGAGGTGAGCAATGCCAGAAAGACAAAAAGGCGATCACCAAGAAACTATCAGTCAGGAAAAGTCACGGAAGTGTAAAGATTTACTTTAGCAGAGGGAATTAAATTTTTACAATATATTAATCGTCATTGATAATTTAACCCTTGGCAATGCCAGTCGTACGCACCGATGATGATCAAACGAAAAATTCGCTGTCAGTCCCTAGAATCCACACCGTCCAAACGAAAAGTCTTCTGTCAGTCTCTAGGGAGTGACGCCACCTGAACGGAAAGTTCACTGTCAGTCCCTAGGGTCCCCGCAGGGGCTAAGGTCGACCTTGGTCGGCCGTAATATGGGATTGGAGACCCCACGGTGCCTAGCTGACGTGCACCTACGTCGAGGTGGGCTAGCAGCCTCAGAACGGTAGTGGTTCGCCACGAACGGGACGACCGGTACGTCCGTGATCACCGGTACCACGGGAGACCGATTTAGCCCTGGGCCGGCTGTCTTATGGCAGTCCGCCCGTCAGTCGCTGGGCCTCGTGGTGGCAGTGGTTCGAGCCTACATCGCAGGCAAGGGCTCTCGAAGCCCGGCGTGAGAGTTGCGCATCGTACAGCTCGGGTGCTGTCCTCCTGAGGCAGTAGGGATTTAGAAAGGTTCCGTCCCAACACCAAGGGAGTCGACTGGGACTAGCATCCCAGTTAGACAAATTGGCAGGACCGATTGTGTTCTTGGCACTTTCGGTTCGCGCTGGTTGGGCGTATCCCAACCCCTCGCCCATGGGGGCCGTGTCGATAGTCCACTAGGAAGGTAGCGGAGGTTGGATGGCTGGATAAGCGCAAGCTTCTAACAGCATACTATCCAAACTCAATGTCAGTCCCTAGGGACTGACGCGGCACTCAACGTGTTAAAAATATGAAAGCAATCAGAGAGAAAATGTGAGCAGGAAAAAACGAGGAATACAAACAAGCTTGCACAAACACATTTTCCCTCGCACACATTTATTTTATTTACCTTAAACGGGAGGAACACTAACGAAACCAATCAATCGTAGCTAAACCCTTTCACCGGCCATTTAATTCCCTTTCGCTCCATCAAAAGAAGCGGAGGAACAAAATCGACCGTGTCTCGTTACTTGTCCTCGAATGACTCGGCAAAAACACGCAAATCCAATTTGACGCGGAGAATCGCGAAGAGGGAATCGCGAAATCTTGGCGATTATTTGTTTGCTCGCAAAAGCTCGGGGATCCATCGATCCTCGATCTCGAGGACGTGGATTCGTTCGTCGACGAAAAGTAAATCTCTCCCGTGGCTGTAATCTGATTAATTAGCCCAGGAACAATTTCGCGTGTTTGTACGACGACGCTAATCGAATCGATAGAGACTCTCTGTCTTCCCAGCTTTTATTTTTATTCCGAATTATTGCCTTTCCCGCTCGCCCTTAACTCGTCGTTTCCGATTGATACGACGAGGAACATATGGTATGGAATTATTGCGCGAGCATAAAGGTAATTGGACGTGTAACGACGATGTCGATTAACGACTCGACCGGCTCGGCAAATATTTTCGAAGAAAGGAGGGCAAGGATAAGGAACTCGTGATTTAATGGAGTCTTCGGGATATCCTTGAAAGGATAGAAAAAGTTTCTTCCTTTCGATTGAACAGTGCAATGGATAATCCAGGCGATTATGGGACTTTGCATTTAATTGCAAATTCGAATCTGCTGAAAATAAATTACTATTTTGTATTTTTGTATATTTTCGTTGTTGGAGTTTTGCAGTAATTTAGAGGAATTCTTTTGGGAGTCAGAGGATGGAATTAAAATAGAAAATTTATGTAATATAGTTTTGGAATATTTGTTGCTCTTTGAGAAACTTGGCATTGGGTTCTGGCGGTTGTCGTACGTTCCTGAGACCTATGAATTTAATTAGAAATTCGAATTTGCTGAAAATAAATTCCTATTTTGTATTTTTGTATATTTTCGTTGTTGGAGTTTTGGAGTAATTTCGAGGAATTCTTTTGGGAGTCAAAGGATGGAATTAAAATAGGAAATTTATGTAATATAGTCTTGGAATATTTGTTGCTCTTTGAGAAACTTGGCATTGGGTTCTGGCGGTTGTCGTACGTTCCTGAGACCTATGAATTTAATTAGAAATTTGAATCTGCAGAAAATAAATTCCTATTTTGTATTTTTGTATATTCTCGTTGTTGGAGTTTTGGAGTAATTTCGAGGAATTCTTTTGGGAGTCAGAGGATGGAATTAAAATAGAAAATTTATGTAATATAGTCTTGGAATATTTGTTGCTCTTTGAGAAACTTGGCATTGGGTTCTGGCGGTTGTTGTACGTCCCTGAGACCTCTGAACTAAC